CACTCCTCGCACATCGGGGGAGGCATCATGACAAACTCTCGGCATGCTGTTGTTACTAATAAGTGAGTACATGAGACAACAACTGCAGCGGATGCCTTACTATAACAACTAGTCTCACAAGGACGCTAGCACTACTACTTCCGATGCAACTTCTACGACGACGACTGCCACCACTGCTGCAACTGCTATTGCTAAGACGACGACTACTACTACACAATGGCTGCAGCCCCCGATTGGTGCAAAAATAAAACAAACCCATCCATGCGTTTCAGTTCATCACGCAGGATGCCCGTGAGATTTGCAGAGTACAGCCTTCTTTTTACTGCGATTGCAACAAGCAGGGAGTCTCTAATCATCCCCCGACCCCGAAAACGTCTGCCGGACGAGACTGCGACTCCCATCCTCCAGCCTGAAACCTAAACATCAAACGCAAAAAATGCCCACGGCTGCAAAATCGTCTCGTAAAAGTAAGTTCTCTAAATCCATATCTACTCGTTCTAGGGGAGGTGCTCTGACTTCTGACTGTCGCCTATGTCGCCAGATGCAAAAATAAGGAGATCCTCTCTACCACAGTTTTCTTTATCCGAACAATAGGGTCTGTAGATGTTTGGTAGGGCTTAGGGTGAAGGGGTTTCGACTCTCAGAAGCCCGAGGTTTCGGGTCAGTGGGGTGGCGGACTAAGCGAGGAGTCCTCCTTCAGTCGCTCATCAAAGTCCACGACTTCCTGGATCAATCCGACTTTGCACGGCGGCGGGCTTCTGGTTTTGTCAACAAGATCATCTTCTTTGCGAACTCTAGGCTCTGTTGTCTCATCGGTGTTGTGATCTTTGTTGTGGACGTAATGCACTCCCACACAGACACATTTTGGATTTCCAACTCTCTGAGTACATGGGGAGCCCGGACCGGACCTTTGCCAGGGATGATCCACAAACATAAACCCTGAACCCTCCCTGTAGCCCCAAACCCCAGAAAATAGTAGGCAATGACCCCTTAATTCTAGGGTCTAACCCTTAAAACGGTAGGTTTTGGGATTCCCAGGTGAACCCTAAACCAACTGAACCTTGTGCCCTCATCCCCGCAAAGGCGCCTCGTCGCTCGACTCCTGCGCATGCGGCGGGCGATTGCGGCTTTTCTTTGTCTGTGACGTTCACGGCATATGGGAGTCTCCGAAAGTTAGGGGTACCGAAAACATGGGACCCCGAAAAGTACCCCAAATAGTAGGATCCTTGTTATATGGACCCCAAAATAAGGTATCCCTAATTTTCGGAAACTCCCATATGCTTCGGGTTGAGAATAAAATTCGCCACAGCGCATTCTGGCGGGGGGCCAAGCCTTCCCAACGCAGCATACCCGTAGTCTCCGCTTTAGTCACTTCCTTTTTTGGGACACCTTGAAAGGATCCTAAACATAAAGCTGGTTGAATCAGAAGGAGGAACTACAACGGAGACTAAGAGGTACCTCCATGTCACAAGGCACAAGAGACTACCGCCACCAGGCTGCATGAAGTCCTATCCCACCAGGGTCTGAAAGAACATCCCAATGTGCGGTAACCTGTGCCGGGTGATTTGCGGGCCTCCGTGTTGATGAGAATATCGTTTTTTGGCGAGGGTTTACCGTAGTCTATATGGGCCTAAAACATGAAACCCTTAAGGAATACTACGGGTTGGTCAAGCCTCCAGATTAAGCTGCAAGCGCCTCTGGGACAGAGCTACAGCCCGTGGAAACCCGACAAAAAATCGACAGAACGCCAATCTCGAGAAAAACTAATTATTCTCCTTCAAAACCATCCGAGAAGTGACGGTTAATACATAAACCCTGAACCGGAATACCACTCGCAGGTTGCAGGCAGCTCCTCGGGAGGTGCAGGAGGCGGCGGTTTTGGAGCCGGCGCGGCCTGCACCAGCTTTGCAATGCGACGTCAACGACTTGCGCGGCCACACCCAAAGAGCCCAATACCCCTTAATTAAGGAATATGCCTTAGATTTAAGCTGCTATATTCCTCAAAAAAGGATTCTGGGCTCTCTGGGCATGTAGAGACAGAGACCAAAGCCTTGATATCTAGGAGCGCGAAAAAATTTAACGGTGCAAGGAATGTAAGGCTAATCATTGCCAATCCATCGGACCCCAGTATCAGAGCTGTTGGGGCTGACTGAAACTGCCGGGTCGAGTCAGAGTCACGGAGAGCTTGCAGAGCTGTGCAGGCAAAGGCTGCAGGACTCGCCAGGCCCTCATCCCCTTGCTTGCCCTCACCCAACGCACATGATGGTTTAGGGTTTGGGGGACATTCGCTATCCACCTGTGCCCTGAGTCCTCTGCCTTATACAAAACATACGTAAGAAGAACAGCAAGCGCGTGCTAGCAGCTGAGGCAGCTGATCTCCCCCGGACAGAACTGTGAATACCAAGTGGCGGCATTCGCCATCACCTGCTGCCCTTGCAGTTCCCCTTAGCCCCCCCCTTGCCCCTCAGCCTTCAGGCTGCAACCCAAAACCTCGCAATCCGTAATATAGGGGCCTTAATAGTTAGAATGAGTAGGGTTTCGGGCCCCTTTGTACTGCACTCTAATTGCAAAAAGTAATAAGGAATCCCCAGAATGGTATAGGTTATTATTATTGAGGCCTGTATATGAGAACCAGGATCCCTCCGTCTGCTGCCTCTGCAGGCTGTCGGGAAGTGGATGCTGCTTTGGCAGTGGCGCGCTGGCGAGCCAACCAAAGAGACAGCCTCGGATTGGAGTCTGGCCGATTGGGGTTTAGGGTTTCGACGCTCACACTCGCACAAGGCAGGCAAAGCTCCACATAGTGTTAGGGTTTTGCCGACTCAGTTAGCATCTGAACAACTTTGAACAACTCAATGAAATAATACGAAGTTTAATCATGTATGGAGATGTGACAGACCATTGTCTGTGAACATCGCCCGTCCACCAGCTTACTGCTCGTCCCGTGCTTTCTCGCGAGAAAAACTTGAGATTTTAAGTAAGCAGTGCTCGGCATTGGGCTTTCTGTTGGACTATGGGCCGCGGCAAGAAGCGCCCCGAACTGCAACTCCAGCATGAACCAAGAGAGCCCATGCACCGTTACCGTTACCAACACAAAACCTTCAGGGGTATATGGCTCTTCTCCAGGTGACAAACTCCCGAAACCACACTTTCCAACAAAAGCCAAATTTCGAGGCCAAAGGGCCCAAGCAGTGAGACAGCGCTCAGAGTCCCAGCAAGGAGTGGCTGTGCGTATGGCAGCCTGGCAAAGCCGAACTAGGGCTTGGGGTGGCCGTGGCAAGGTGATGTCAAGTGCGAGTACGAGCATGAACCACTAACGAGTCTAAATCAGAGTGCGGATAAGGGTATTGTGCACTCGGCTGGCCTTCCTGCAAGGATACCTTTTGAAGCATCAGCAGCAGAAGTAGCCGCAGCAGTAGCAGCGGCAGAAGCTGTAGCAGTAGCAGTAGAGTAGGAACAAGAATAGGAATAGTAGTGGGGGCTCCTGGTTCACTCTGACTTCAGGCCGTCAGCTGGTTATTCCAGCTGTAGGGTGCAGCGTGTAGCATAAAAGGCCAGTGTGAACCGACAAAAACCGCCGCACCCCGACTGCAAGCTCGACTGGAACACTCCGGGGGGGGGGGCTCCCGATTTGCATGACTCCGGACCTCCACTGAAACCCTTTTTTCCCCTTTACCTCCTCGCAGCAAGAAACTTAGAAAGATCAAGCCCCATATTTGCTGCAAAGTAAACAAGACAGGAACCTAGAGTACAGCGGAGTTAACTCGCCCTGTTTCCCTTATCCCAACAGCGGCACAGTGCCTTGCTGGCATGGCCGGCAGGCATTGGAAGCAGGCAGTCTCCAGACTACGTTTCTTACTATAGGTCCTTAATAATTAGAATAGGGTTTTGGGATGTTTTGGGGCATATTATACTATGATTACAACAGGAGTCCCCAAAAGAGGATTGGTAATAATTTGGGCCCCTACAGTGCTGCCTTGCAGGGTGGCTGCATGTGTGTCTACGTGGTGGTGATCTTAAATATCAAGAAAAACTACTGGAACTCCGAGCCCAAGAAGTGAGTTGGGGAAGCTCATGAGACTCTTGGCGTCTCTCGGCCCTAGACACCGAGGCGAGGTACTGGAAGTCGACTTTTTGGAGTATGGATTTTGGTCTTTGTGAGCTTCACACTGTGATCACGGGAATTGGAAAAGCAAGCTTCAGGCTGTTGAACCAGGGCGGCACGAGCATGTCTCGTTTGCAGTTGCTTCACCAGCCGAATTGAAAAGGCATCCCTTATGCATCATGGCGCTGTGAAATTCCTACCAGTTCTGCTGTACCCGTATGTGCCATCCAAAACCCTTTTGCTGCAGGCTTGCTTGCAAGGACCCATCCAAAACCCTAAACCCTCATCCCTGGAATTCAGCACTCACAACTAGACAGAGACATCCCTGGGCTAAGGTTTTAGGGTTTACGCTCTCGCAACTCAGGCAGGGAGATGCAGGGAGTACGGTTATACATTATAAGTACCTTAACCGGGAATTATAGCCAGTTATTAATTATAAGTATGGCCATCTTGTTTATTACCCTAAGTAGTGCGCGAACTGACTTCGTATGTCATGGCATGGTTCTTTCTGGCAAAGAGGCCAAATCTCCAGATTCACCTACTCGCAGCGGTGGCAGCCGCATATGTACAGCCTAGCCCGAGGACGAACGGCAAAGATAGCACGAGCTTCTTGATCCGAAATCCCATGGATTTCAGCATATACCTCACAAAAAACATTATCGATTTTGAGTTGCTGGAACATCGGACAACAAAGATCTGTAGCATCATGGGTAATTTCCAGGCCGATTTCTGTCAACATGCTGCAGCCCCATCGGCCTAGCACTCCTCAATCTTGCAGTGAGCTGCAAATCCTAGCGCTCACCCTAATCTCAACAGTTTTAAACAGCCATGTATCCCACCAAATTTTCCAATCTGAGAGACCCTCCTGAATCGAGTCGTCTTCGGGTGTAGATCTCTCTCAACTACTGTCGCCCTCAGAGTCGGAGGTGACCTCGGCACGAAAAAGCCCAACGAAAAAGTATCGGGCATCGTGCGTTCCAAGGCTGTTCGAAGGATCAGGCGTCGGTGTGAGTTAGAAAACTGCAACTGCAGCGTGGCATGGCGATAACTGCGGCATTGCAAATGAGGAATAATGTGGTCTCCTGATTATTAAACCCCCCCCCCCCCAAACAAGTCCAGTCCCTGTAATATTAACGGGGGGTCCGCATATCTCTGACCTGAAGTTGTTTGGGGGGTCCGGGGTCGAAGTTGTTTGGGGGCCGGGGGTAGTACAGTAGTACAGTAGTACATTAGTACAGTAGTACAGTAGTAGTACAGTAGTAGTACAGTAGTAGTACAGTAGTACAGTAGTACAGTAGTAGTATAGTAGCAGATTTTTGCAGCCCTCTTCGCTCCAGCAGCCCTCTTGCTCCGCTCTTTTCGCAACCTTCGACTCTCAACTCCGTTGGCATACTGCGCAAAGAGGCTCTCAAGCGGAGCAAGGTGCCTCTCTTGACAGGACCAGGGAGCTCTTCAAAGCTGTAAACCCTTAAGTCTGGCTGGCTGGCTATCTCTCTGTCCTTTATCTTGCCTGTTTCTGTCTCTCCTCTTCCAGGGCGTCAGTTTGTAGTAGGAGTGCTTCTCTACTTAAACCTTAAAAATTTTAGGACGGGACGGGTTTTAGGACTATTGAGGGGTCTTTATTATTGTGTGCGGGCCGAGTTTAGCTCTATTGAGGGGACCTTTTATTATTGTGTGCCGGGCCGAGTTTAGCTCTATTGAGGGGACCTTTAATAATCACGAGCTCACATTAGTCCATCGAGAATGTCGAGAGGGAAGATGGTGGTGACGACAGTGATGATGTTCACGACGATGACGATGGTTATGATGATGATCGTCGGCACGGCACAGGAAAACAGTTTTGGTTTTAGCTCAGACTATCTGAACCTCATGCCATGAAATTGAAAACCTACACGCTTGACCTTGTGCAACCTATGCACTACCCGACAAGGTAATATATCATAGCTTTGACAAAAGCATCAGATGCTCGCCGACTGGAAGGATCTCAGCGTCCCACGATCTTGTCAAAGCGCGAGTAGTCTAAAGCCTCGAGCAATCTTCTGCAAGCATTTCCCAACGTCAAGCCCCATTTACTATTCAGTATATTGTAATTATAGCAGCAGGAGCAGCAGCAGCAGCAATAGCAGTAGCAGTAGTTGCAGTAGTAGTTGTTGTTGTTCTTGTCGTCGTCGTGGTAGTGGTAGCGGTAGGGTTTTTTCAAAGTAGCAGCAGCAACTGTAGCCGGAGCCGTGGCAGTCGTAGTCGTAGTAGTAGTAGTAGTAGTAGTAGTAGTAGTAGTAGTAGTAGTAGTAGGTAGTAGTAGGTAGTAGTAGGTAGTAGTAGGTAGTAGTAGGTAGTAGTAGGTAGTAGTAGGTAGTAGTAGGTAGTAGTAGTAGTAGTAGTAGTAGTAGTAGTAGTAGTAGTAGTAGTAGTAGTAGTAGTAGTAGTAGTAGTAGTAGTAGTAGTAGTAGTAGTAGTAGTAGTAGTAGTAGTAGTAGTAGTAGTAGTAGTAGTAGTAGTAGTAGTAGTAGTAGTAGTAGTAGTAGTAGTAGTAGTAGTAGTAGTAGTAGTAGTAGGTAGTAGTAGTAGTAGTAGTAGTAGTAGTAGTAGTAGTAGTAGTCGTAGTAGTAGTAGTAGTAGTAGTAGTAGTAGTAGTAGTAGTAGTAGTAGTAGTAGTAGTAGTAGGTAGTAGTAGGTAGTAGTAGGTAGTAGTAGGTAGTAGTAGGTAGTAGTAGGTAGTAGTAGGTAGTAGTAGGTAGTAGTAGGTAGTAGGTAGTAGGTAGTAGGTAGTAGTAGGTAGTAGGTAGCAGGTAGCAGGTAGCAGGTAGTAGTAGTAGTAGTAGTAGTAGTAGTAGTAGTAGTAGTAGTAGTAGTAGTAGTAGTAGTAGTAGTAGTAGTAGTGGTAGTAGTAGTCGTAGTGGTAGTGGTAGTGGTAGTAGTAGTAGTAGTAGTAGTAGTAGTAGTAGTAGTAGCAGTAGCAGTAGCAGTAGCAGTAGTAGTAGTAGTAGTAGTAGTAGTAGTAGTAGTAGTAGTTAGTTGTTGGTGGTGATGGTGGCTGCGGCGGCGGTGGTGGTGGGATGTGGTGGGAGTAGTACTGGTAGTGGTAGTGGTAGTGGTGGTAGTGGTCTTCGTCGTCGGCGTCGTCCTCGTAGTAGTAGCAATATCCAGTAGTAGTTCAGTAGACGTACTTGCAAGAGAAAAAGCAGGAGGAAGTAAGTTTTCGCAGTGCGAACTGATGGTCCAAGAATTGCGGTGACTCGTCTCAGGGGGAAGACGGAGTAGCTGCAGTGGCAGGAAAGTGTCTGCCATGCCAAATGTCAGTGCCTACAGCACGATAGTAGCAGTGCTGACAGATGTTGTAAAAAGACACGGGCAAAAGCTTTCGGGCTATACTTCACCTCAACGATGAGGCTCCACCCCAGCTCCCAAACCAATGTCTCGAGTTGTGTTGGCTTTAGAGTTGGCAGGTGGCCGTTCCTACCCACCCCTGAAGTCACCGGCAAATTTCGCACCAGGCCGCATTACGCTTGCTGCCGACCTGGCAGTTGCAAAGGCACTCAAAGCAACACACACACACACCAAAAGAAAGGCTGGTGGAGATCTATTGTAGCTCGGTTCACTTCGACACCAAAGCTCGGGCGAACGCTGTCTCGCTTGCTGTGTTTCTGGCACATGGCCACATGAGCCTGCATCGTCGGACATGCCGGCGACTAGTTATCGGATGTCCGAGCATCAGAATGGAGAGCGAAACAACACTTCTCAGTCGTAGTTTCAAGAGACCTTTCGCCCTACATCCATTGGGCTCAGCATACCGTAGTAACATGCTCGCCACGAGTTGGGAATCAGGCGATCATTTCTGCCGTTTACGATGTGTTTCGCAACTCTCACAATTTCAATCCAAGCGAGACTTCTGCGACGAAGGTCCACTGCTGCTGAAGCGCACCATATAAACACCGAGAACAAGCTCTGCTTGAGCTCAACTAGACGCGACGTGCACGCACCCTGAGTACCATGGGGTCGGGCGTGGGGGGGGGGGGGAAGGATCAGAGCTCTACAAGATTTGATGTCACCGTGCTGCGACATCACCACACCTTCCGGGCATTTGTGCAGTTCAGAGCAGGGTCCGGCAGAAATGAGCAGAGAAACTTGCAGTGTCCGTTTAATTTCTTTTGCCCTATTTTCCGCCTGCCGGTAAGGAGTTGGAACGCCATGCTGGCTGAGGGGCAGGTTCGGGAGAACATGACGAGAGATTTACCGCCGTTCAGCTTTATGATCATGATTAAAACGCTTGCGGTGCTTGTGATTTTCTGGCACTGCCGACACAAGCAGGCGCCAAAGCATAGCTGAACCTTCCCGCACTCTCAAGCACGCAGGCTCACTCCTTCAATGGAGCATCAGCAGAAGCGGCACGAATCAAGACTTTCCTCTATCGTTTCCAATTCTGGTGTTACAATCTGTACTCGAAGCTCAAGCTTCAGCCGCGGCCTGCTTCGTCTGCTCTGTCGGCGCCTGGACTCTTTTTGTCTTTTTCCATCTGCGTGGCATTTACGTATATTCTCTCCTGCTGTTTGTTAAGCTCTTTTAAACTTTGAGACTGCAGGGGTCCTCTCTGGCGTTCAGGGCTTAACTTCGTAGCGTTTCGGTCCGATGAACTGATCGAGAGAAGGTCCTCCTACTCTTACTCTTGGTCCTACTCCTACTCTTGCTCCTGCTGCTACGTGGGAGTTTCCGAAAATAGGGACCCCAATATAGTACCCAAAATAGTAGGATTCTTGTTATAAGGACCCCAAAATACGGTACCCCTAATTTTCGGAAACTCCCACGTGTGAAGCCCAGACATGAAAGCCTCGCTGTGTCATCAAGGCCTCGCCAGGACAGGACTCCTAACTGGGGGTTTCCGAAAATCGGGGACCCTAAAGGGAACTCCAGAAAGTTGGAATATGGATTAATGGTAGGATCCCCTATAATTTACCTTAAAGGGGTTACGATAATGATATTCCAACTTTCTGGCTTCTACTATAAGGTAGTACCCTGATAAGTAGGATCCTTGTTTACAAGGACCCCCAAAATAAGGTACCCCCCCATTTTGGGAAACCCCCAACTATTTCAGGCCCCCCCCCCCGGCCACGAAGCCTCTGGAGGCCGCTGCTCGGAGAGCAGCAAAGCGGAGACCCCAGCAGGGAGATCGGTGACCTCATGGTCATATATGGGTAGTTGTCAAAATTAGGGTCCCTGTTTGGGGTCCCTAATCCAATACGGCACCTAATATTTAGGGTACCCCAAACAGGGACCATAATTTTGACAACCACCCATGTAGTTACGGGGTTTGAATAAGTAGAAGAGGGTACTGTCAGTAGAGATGCTGATAGGATGTTAAACGATTCTTTAGAACTTTTAGGAAGGCCTTCAGGATAGGACTAGGGTCTATTGGAAATGGTAGGGTGTTTGATGCTGGTTTTCAGAGGGTGTCTGAATCATCGGAACCGGGTTTTGGGCAGCTTGGGGTGTCTATTGTTGTTCGGACCTCGGGGTAAGGGTGTCGGTAATCTAATGCTTTGTGGGTTTAGGGCTTTATGGGTTCAGGCATTTGGTAGTTGAGGGCTCGGGTTGTAGCGTAACTCGAAAGCTCACAGGTGAGGAGGGGGTTCGGGGAGTCTCCAGACAGCCAGGAAGGTCGTCCTGCGCCGACCTAAACCGAGAGCTGCCAAGCGACCCTGGGGTGCTCCGCCAGCAGATCCTGCAGCTGCACCTGCGGCTTTCAGTGGCTCTAGCTCTAGGTTTGCTCGCGGATGCTGGTCTGCACAGCAGGCACCGGGACTTTCACAAACATTGCAAGCAAATCTAGATGCTGTCCTCACCAAGGCAATGAGTTCTACTCAGAATGGGGTCCAGTATCCACGATGCTCATTCCAAGCCAGAGGAAACGCAAAGCATTGTCTAAAGCAACATCAGAAGACTCGAACATTACAACCTCACTGCACTTTACTTGTAGCTCTTGCTTGGCATACAAATCCCTGCAAACCGATTCTCATGGAGTCTTGCATCGGCCCCATTAACCGCTGCAGATCCAACACTACCAAAGCCTGGACAAGCTTGAGAACATTTCACCTAGGACGTAGGTGTTCTGGCCTTGAGGTCGCTTCGGGCCGTTGCGATTTGCTTCTCGGTGTCCTCGCAAGGCTGCGTGTCGATGTTTTTGCGATTATAGGCACTTCAAAAGTGAAGGCCCTGTGGCCGTTGACACAGCATGTTGTGGGTGCTGCATTTGCACACACGGCGCTCTTACACCATACCCCTCAAAGATTCTGAGCCCAGCACTCTAAGAACACCTGCCAGGCTGCAAACCACACTTCCAGAGAAACACGACCCGTGAAGTGGAGCTGACGAGTCCTGCTGCTGCTCCGTCAGCCAGGACCTGCCAAGTCTGACACACCGTATCGGGCAGAGCCATACGGGTTAAGGTTCGGGTCTGCCTTCTTCTATCATACAATGCAACTGCACACTTCACACTTAAAACGGCCTCGAAGTAATGCAAGACTCCTGAGACGCAGCCTCGTGATGCCACGGAACAATAATTTTCTGTCTGTGCTAGGTCAGAAACACTGAAAATATACTAAAACCTGCGGCATAAGCCCTGAAGTTCCTGGTCACCAATCCCTAGCCCCAAATCGCACACTTGCAGCCCTATGGTCCCGCACCATCTACCCCTAAAGTTCCCCAAGAAGCAACAAAGCCTCGCAGTTTTTCCCGGCAGGCGGATGAACTGCCCCTGTGTGGCAATCCACTGCGACGACCTGGGCTTACCGACGCGTCTCAAATGGTTTAGGGTTTAGGGTTTCTCAATCTTGTGGTTTGGGATCTCGATCCTTGGATCCTTCGGTTTAAGATCCTGTGGCTTCCGAGCAAGGAAGTCCAGATGTCCTTTGGCTAAGTCTCCACAAAGAAGCACGCTCCTCAGACCGCCAATTTCTTACTTGGAGGTTCATGGGATTTAGTAAGTACAGTTATAAGTACCTTAACTGGGGCTAGAAGTAATTATAGGCATAGTTACATTGTTTATAACCCTAGTTACTAAGTCCCATGAACCTCCAAGTACGGGTTTAGGACTGTAGGGTTTGGGACTCGCCAGACGGGGTCTCTGCACTCGGGTGCACTGCTATGGCCATGGGACTCGCATTTAGGGTTTAGGGGTTAGTGTTGAAATCCAGCAGTTGGTAGTTGGTGAGGCTTGGATCCAAGCTGAACGCATATGTCATACCAACCAACCAGTCGAATCAGGATTGTAGTCGTTAAGCACAAGCCAAATTGTCCACGGCAACGGCTCAAGTTAGAACCCTCAGCTAGGCCTAGTTGACAACACTTCGGCATTGGTCAATACAGCAGTCGAGAGGCAACTTTCCATTCCCTACGTGGCTTGGGGTGCACCGTGAGACGGCCCCTTAAACTAAGCCCATCTTTCGCAAGCGTCCGGCCGGACGTTGGTTTCTCCGCGGCGAAAAGCTCCCAAAGCCTCGCAAACTTGCTCGTGCGAGGTCCGAGTCTCAGACACAAAGCAAAGCCGAAACTTCGGCAGATTCTGCAGCCCGGGTCCCTGTGATTCTCAGACGACATGACCAAGAAATCTTGACAAAGCTCAGAAAGTCCTTCAAGATCTTCAAGTGGGGTCACGCAAATTCTGTTAACTCGCCTTTTAACCGGATGGGCCTCCTTCTAGGGGCAGAGGCTTCGCTCAAGGAATGTTCATCGGATCTGTGAATCTGTACTGAACCCGTGGATAGCCACATGCGCCAGCATGAGATGTCAATGACGTTTGCACGTGCACATGCCCAAAAGCCCGCACGCACACACGCGTGCACACACACACACACACGTACACACTCTCTCTCTTTCTCTTCTCCTTTGTTTTTCTTGGTTGTCTCTCTCTCTCTCTCTGTCTATCTCGCTCTCTCTCTCTCTCTCTCTCTCTCCCTCTTGCTTGCTTGCTTGCGAAGCGTATGGGAGGGTAGGGGCAGCCCCTACACCCCCTGCGCGCGAGCGCTACGCCACCGTTCGTGTCTTGTGTGAGACTTATGCACACGGCTCGGTTAGGTGGGGACTCCTTGCCAAATTATGCCCCGTCACACTCCTAATTGCCACACCTTGTCTGCTGCGGTCCCCGCCTAGTCGAGCTCGCATGTATCTGTGGTCCTACGAGCCTAAACCCTAAACCCTAAACCCTAAACTCTAAAACCGTCTCTCTGTCTCTCTATCTCTAGACCATAGCAGCCGGTATAGCTACTTACTGCTACGACTATGACAACGAGCTTCACCAAAGTACTTGTGTGAATACTCTGCCGCCGATACTGCTCCAACTATACGACGACGGCGACGTCGACCACAAATCCCGAAACGTGTGTATGCAACAAACCCTGCCTCTCGCCGGCCGTTTCTCTGGCGATCCAACTCCACAAGCTTTTCCTGCGTTTGGAGGACCTCAGACTCACAATGCTCCGCAGGTGAAGTCCGAATCTTCAGCATGTCTTCTCGAATGCCGCCCTTGAAACCTTCCTCCGAAAACTGTGGCGAAGGCAGCAGTTGACAGGATCCACAACGCTCCAAGAGTTCGGAAGCATGTTGGGCAGTTTAGCAGTGGCTGGTTTCTCAATGCCGCAGAACCCGTCTTGGGCCCAACGTGCACGGGCTTCCTGCTTGGCACGTGGTGCAATCCACGACGACCGGACTGACTGAAGCTTCATCGCAACCCGTCTCGGCTAAAAGTGTGCAGACCTGCTATAGGGTTGTTCCCAAATTTAAATATCGTGCGAGGGACTGGGCGCGGCGGAGCTTTATCAGCAACACATGGCATTTTTATTACCGGCCCGAACCCAGACAATGTCAGTGTGCCTAGCAGTCCAGCATTTATTCAGGGGATGCTCGACCCGCGAGAACTTCCTGCACCAAACACAAGTCGTTCGCCTGGTTCGCGAGCTCTTCGATACGGCACAGCCGCTCGCGGTCGAGAAGAGCCATCGCGTGCACAACAGCTTTGGTGATTCAGGTCTGGCTGGTTTGTGTGGCGTAGCTCTGCTCGGGATTTTCTATCAGAGAAACTTGGGACGTATGCAATTACTGTATTATAAAGGTGATTTCTATAGACCTTTTTGTCACTCGTGCTCGACAAGTCAGACGAGGTTTGACAGATAGAAGAGACTGCACAGCGTAGTTACAGTGCCCACATTGGAACACCGTCAAAGGACATTATCACGCGGCGATTCACTTAGACGCATGGGAAGTCGCCAGGAGTCAGAGATCTGTAACGTAAGATGTTCAGCAACATATGCAGCATGCACGCTTCCGAAGCAGGGGACACATTACAGTGTTCGGATTCTCGCATGTTTGAGCAGCTTTCGGTAGCCCTCTGCGGGCTAGGGCCAGGCAAGTGGATCGGGCCACCAGTCTACGTAGGGAGTTTCCCAAAATAGGGACCCTAATATAGTAACCTTATTTCATCGGATCCTTATTATAGGGACCTAAAAATGAGCTAACCCTAATTTTCGGAAAATTTCATGTAGGGATGTTTGTTGAAGCTTTTCAAAATGAGATAAGAACTATGGCCTGTAACAATAGTCCTGAGCATTTATATGCGCAACCCCGACACGGGCAATACATGCCTGTGGCCACGTACAGAATTCACGCATCGCAGCCGGGCTGTGTGACCTCCTGTTTCCTGCAGTCTTGTGAACTACAAGTATGGCGAGTTAGACACCATACTACTCTAGTTTTAACAGTAATTACCTCCTCAATCACTAATAACAAGGGTACCCTTGTTCCGGCTATATCCGGTGTTAATAAAGAGACCCAAAAATAACTAGTTGCAGAAGGGTGCTACATAAGGGGTCCGGCTCAAGGCCGCGTGGCTGCGCGTGGATGTCAGTGATTTTCGGAATCTCTCGCCGTAAACCAATCAACAAACCCCGTGCCGGAAAATTAGTGCGGGAGCTTCAGAGGTCCCTAAACCGAACAACACGCGTAGGATCCTCGTTTGACACAGTCTTAAGAAACCCTATGCTTCCAAGGACCTTATCACTGGGTCCCTAGACCCCTTAAGGACCCAATAATAAGGTCCCTGGAAACATAGGGTAAGGGACCCATAGTTCCCTGAAGCTCCCGAGAGTGAGGCACAGGCAGGGAGCTTGATCTGACTTAAACAGAAGCACCTACGCAGTGTGTGCTGTCATACCATACACCCTTATGTCTTCGCGTGGGGGCCATCGACCTTACGTTACAGGCAAGTCAACGAGCGAAGCAAATCCAAACAGTAAATGGGAGTTTCCGAAAATTAAGGGGTATCTTGTTTTGGGGTCCTTATAATAAGGATCCTACGTCTTAGGTAGCTTTTTTTAGGGTCCCCTATTTAACCTATTTTCGGAAACTCCCATATAGACAGCTTAGAAGACGGCCCAGGGGAGCCTGGTAGCTTGTCGGGCTTCGGCCCAATCTCGCTGAAACTGCTCCAGTAAAGCTCTCTCAGAGTTGGCTTTCACCACCGCCTCTGGGATTGGGGGGAGGTCACAGGAGCTGGGAGGGGATGACTCTAGGGGCCTTGATAATTAGAGTAGGGTTTTGGGGCCTATACTATGATTATAACAAGGCTCCTATAGTACAGGGGATATTTCGGTGCTCCTTGGCTTACAGTGAGGTGAACAAAGAAGCAATCACAGAAGAGGAAAGGCTCAGGAAGGTTCCCAGGGACTCCAATATCCCTTAGCTAAGGAATATACATTCGAGCCTACTATAAATCAAGGACTATTCCTTAAGGGATGTTGAAGTCTCTGGGTTCCGGGCCGGCCAAGCACAAACACGTTTCAAGTGGCACAAGACGTCCCAAGTACTTGGTACTGAAACTGCTGGTGTGGCCAGGTGAACTCGCCGATGGCTCCTCTACGTTGCTGCGAACACACGAAGCTGTGAGCGATCTTTGTCCGAGGAGCATGGCCGAAGCCATGCGAAACCTATTTGGGAAATACTGGGCAACATGACCCAGAAACCCGATGGGGGACATTCTGTATCAATTCCATCATCAGGCTCTCTTCTTCCCAATGCTCGCATGCCCAAACTGCTGGCTTACGAGGCAGGCCGCAAGGGATGCAAGCGCAAAGCCGGACAAGCCCCAAGCCCCAAACCCCTAAACCTTAACTAATCCAAAAACCCTAACCCCCAAGCCCGAAACACTAACTAACCCCTATAACCCCGAAACCCTAAACCCATGTTCACAGAAACCGGGGCATCACATGTTGAAGCACACAAGGCGTGACTCCCATGTGAGCTGTGCCTCGCTGTTTGACGACAGAAGTCTGTCCGACAAGTAAAAAGCAATAATAACAATAATGACAATAATAATAACAACAGTAACAATAAGAATAACCACAACAGTTCAAACATATATTGGTAATATTAATAATGACAACGATAGTGGTAAAATTGAAACTGTACTGACGCCATGGTAACCGTATTTTTAACGATAGGTCTACTAACATTGCTTACCTTGCTATATTATAGAATAATACGACAGCTGATAATGCCGATACGAATAATGACAACAATGAACACAATAATAACCCTACTAATCATGAGTATTATTACGACAATAATAGCAATAAGAACCATCGTAACAGTAAAATGCTAATGGGCTATTGCTTCGGTTACCGGAGTCAATCATTGTGGCAAGATTTCTTGTGTCGCAATCCCCGCGACGTAGTCCGTATATAACCTGTGTAGTCATGTGTTTGTTTTGTTGTGGTCTTGATTTTCTTCCGCAAGCGTGTAGTAAGCCTCGCATTGATTGGAAGTTAAGAAATTGGGTACTATAGATACCGCAACCTACTGAGTTTGTCTTTGCACAAAAAAATCCTGCCTTGGCGCTGTACGCTGCACGTCGAACGCGAAGACGAGGCTGTTCTCCCTCCGGGGCCTGCTTTGTCCGATTTCGAGCTTATCGCGTTTTCTGGGACTGGATATGATACATAATTTAGAATTTGGCTTCAAGATGGGACTCGCCAAGCGAGGCTGTTCAAGTCGGCCACTGGAGCTACATGGCGCCCACAGACGGAAAGCACCATCATATCCCAGAGCTTCCGTTTCGAGGCTGTCACGAGGTTGTCCTAAGGTCTAAAACCCTTAGGGTCCATGTACCTAAAACGTATATACATTGGCCTTAAAGTAGTCCCGATGTAGGTACTTTGGGGCCAAAGTATACTGTATACCGTTTGGGCAAACGGATCCTTAGGGAAACTGTTCAGGGTCGTGGTTCGTGAGTTCTTCAGGGTCTCCGCTCTCACACCCGGACCAGCCAAGAGAGGTCGAAAGCTCAAACGTCAGCGTCGGTAGAAGCTAATTTATACAGGGGCCTCAAGAATTGGGAAAGGGTTCTGGGGCCCCTTATACTATAATCACGTATGATAAGTACAGTAACTGACATCATGTCCGCATACCTTGCCAGACTAGCACTGTGCATTTTGGCCACTCTCACTCTGACAAGCCCGGCAAGGTCTGCCAGGGCAGGCTGACGCATGCCAAGGAGCTAAGCCTTACTGTCGATGATATAATCCTGCACTACCCTAAGGACCCTAGACTATGGGATTTTTTGTATGTTCCTTATTAAGGGTAATGCAGGAGTTATATCATCAACCGTATCATTATGGCAAGGGTTTGGTAGTCTTGGTTGGGAACGTGATGAGATACGAAGGGGGAGGCTGGAGCTCGGAGTTTCAAGCTTCTGGTGTAAGAACGTCCATGATCTTCGCATGTGATAGCAGCATCTCCCGCCGACACATCTTGTTGTCGCCATCCGGATGTATGAGTACAGGCCTGCCCGCAAAACTCTTGATCACTCCATCTATCAAATCCCAGACTCCGATCTCCCCCCTCATGCTCGTCTATCCAGTCTCTTCTACGAGTGTTAGTGTTGGTAGTAGTAGTCGTAGTAGGGGAACGAAAGAACCCTAAGCCCTAAGCCGTCTTGTCTTCCTTGCCCCTCATGCCAAGGCTGGAAAGATGCCGCCTCGGCCAGGAATTCGACGCCGCCTCTCTGTATGCAGCTGGCACAGGCTAACGTTTAGGGTTTGTTTAGGGGTTTAGGGTCGGTAGCTGGCCAAGGATTCTACAGCGGCCTTGCTTTGGTTCTTTGAATAAGAAATTTTGCGTTTATTGCTGAGGCAAATCGGGTTGTGGCGGAAAAGGACTTGGGGTGCCATGTCGAGGCTGTCTCAGATGATTGTCCTCCGTAGCTTTACCTGGTCAAATCAAGTCAACACCCGAGCGATGGCAGCGCAGTTCCACGAACACAGTGTCATTAGAACTGCCTCACAACATATCGGAAATGTGTATAAACCAGCCGATGTCAACAAATGCTCATGGTCGAGATACGACCGTGCCGACAGTCAGCTCGAACCAGAAAGTGAGCTGATGATAACCTGTAGCAGCAGCGTTGGTACTGTTAATACTGTTTCTACGGCGCAGCACTCATCTACAAATACCCGTATACCTCTATGAACTAATACCAGCAGTCAGAAGAAGTAGTAGCAGCAGGAAAAGGAAAAACAGCAGCAGGAAGCAGCAACAGCAGTCGTCGTTGTCGTAGTGGTAGTAGCACCTGCAAGCGCCTCTGGCAGTAGCAGTGCTAATCAGCTAATCTTCAGAATCGTGCCAACGCAAAGCGGTACCAAAACAATACACGCCTCAAACAAGGGAATATACGGCGACATGACCAGACCTCCAAACTCATCAGCATGCAATTGCGTCAGCTTCTCCGGAGATGGAGGTTAATGCCCTCTTGAGTCTTGAGGCCAGAAGACTATCTAACAAACAAGACCGGCCTTCTTCAAGCTCCTCAAACTTCTTGGCAGGTGGTGTGCCCACGGGACGGAATTTCAGCAAGCAGCCGCAAGAAGTCTCCTGAAACGGTCCCACATTTGGATATTCATGGGGATGCACAGGCCCAAGTGTAATCGGACGGTGCACGGCTTGGCTGACATTTTCTTGCAATGACAAACTCAACAAAGCAGCTGCCGCATAACCCCCTTTTGCAGGCCTAGTCGCTTCGTGGCTTTGACCCTTCCATGTATGGCATTGCAAATTTGTGTTGGGGTTTGCATTAGAAGACAAAGCATGAGATAGGGAGATAGAGCACCAGAGCGACACTAGACAAAAGCATGCAAATGTTACATGTTGAGCCGGAAATTCATTGGCAGCCGAACTTCAGACCACAATCCCGGTGTCTCTGCAACTTGCTCCTGGAGCTCCACCGGCGTCTTCATGCCGAAGCGTGCTACCGCACCAGTGCCAACGCCGACGAAGGTGCCCGCCCACTGCTGGACGAACAAAGCCTTGTCACAAGGAGTAGCAGTCTCTGAAGAATCCACGATGGTGCGCAGTCAGATAAAGGCGCTGACGTGAGTTTCAACCTCCACAGTTCACATAGATCCTGTCGCAAGTATGGTCCGACGAAAACCACTCAAAGTGCATAGGTTGTATTCTTGACGGCCGGGCACCGTTGCATGGACAGCTGTGTCACTGAGTACTGAGGATCGAAGTTCTCGTTTCTAACCGCGACATACCAGCACGCAAATGTAGATACTCTACGAAGGAGGCCCGATCTTGGATGATTACACGGGGGATTCTGAACTTCGGTCGAGAAGCAGCTGCACGTGCGTCATCGACATCCATGCGCCATATCTCCTCATGTGTCTATGCCACATGCTCTACAAATGCTTGGGCTCCTGCTGTTTGGAAGACATTACATAAGCATTCTGGAGCTAGCATATTTATCTCATTCAAGTGGAACCACAACACGGACAGTTCAACAACCAGCCATGAGTTGATGATGATGATGATGATGATGACGATGATGATGTTTTTCTTGCCACGATGATAAAACATGTAATACTATTTCGTGATTATACCTCAATTCATATTAACACGAATAAGATTCACCAAAAAAATGTTATCAGTTTTGACCAGTAGTCGTCGTAGCAGTATTTGTGTTCGGGATAATGTGAGAAACTGATTCAGAAACCCTGGGCCCATAACACCCGAACAGTAGGATTCAAACAAACAACCCTAACAAAGGCCCAAGTTTTCTTCACCAGGCTCCTACATGATTATCAACCCTAAACCCTTAATTTAGGACAATTCCGTGGATTATACTAGGATCCCGTATATGGTTCAAGGAATATGCCCTGATTAAGGGATGTTGGAGTCTCTGGAATCTCTAAACCCAAAACCCTATAGATCCCTTAAAGGAACCCTTAAGGATCCCTTTAAAGGAACCCCTAGGGATCGGGGCGTTATAGGGCCCAGGGCTCCGGTCCCACGCAAGGCAGCAAGAGCCGCTCCCAACGAGGTCCACCTGTGCTTTTAAGAGTTCGGATTTGGGTTTAGGGCTTTAAGGGTTTAGGGTTCGGCTGTCTCCGTTATCTAGGATTTGGGTTTAGGGGTTTGGGGGGGTGTAGGGTTTAGGGCTTTAAGGGTTTAGGGTTTGGGTTTGGGGGTTTGGGGGGATGTAGGGTTTAGGGCCTTTAGGAGTGTGGATTTGGGCTTAGGCTAAACGGTTTAGGCTTCTGGGAGGATGTAGGCTTTAGGGCTCTATGTAGGAGTTAGGATTAGGGTTTGGGGTTTGGAGGGGTGTAGGGTTTAGGGCCTTTAGGAGATAGGATTTGGGTTTAGGGTTCTGGGAGGATGTAGGTTTTATGGCTTTAACGTTTTAGGGGTGTAGGGTGCAGGGGGGGGGGGGGGGTAGGGTTGAGTTATTAAGGCCCCTAATTCTAGGAGTTAGGATCAGGGGGACCCATTTCAGAGAGGCCAGAAGTGCGGTTGAGACGGGTCCCCTTCAAGGAGTCTCCCTAAAACTACCTAGCACGATCATAAGAGAGTTCCTGAATCCCCTGGTCCTCCAGTAGATCTGGACATATGATCATTTCGGGATCCTTGTTCGGGACAGCTTTAAGGCAAGTTCAAAAACTTCGAAGCAAGATTCCATGGCCAACATGCCTAGCGGCTATGCGCTGAAGAAACGACACCCTTTTCGAGGGAGCCAACCCTTCATCAAAATGACATGCTTTCTCGGCAGCAACCGACTGCAGCACAAACCCCAGAGCTGGTTTTGAGTGACTTGTTAGGCTTCTGTAAGCCATGCAGCTGCATGGGTACGGTTTGTTCACTCTCGGCGGAGCGGGAAGCTCAAACCAAATCTGAACATGAGACGCTCAAACTCCAAAGTTAATATACGCCACGGAAAGACGTCGCGGCGGTTGCGAGCGGCGTGTCAACCACAGTGAAGCCTGCCTTAGCTCATCTCACCGACCGAACCCACGTGTTGAAATGTGCCCTATAATGGTTTCGGCACATCCTGAACTGCAAAACTCAACCCCGTCCGCCGCGAGCCTATCGATACTGACTGTTTTCCAAAGATGCATCTACGTCGAAGACGAGGGCATGAAGAAGGGCGGCAGAGGCCGTCTGCAGAGAGGTGCTGCCCACGATCTCTTCGAGACTGCCTTGCAAAAACTGGAATCTCTAGGGCTCTCCCTGTGATTTCAGAACTTTGGGTCGTTTCGGGGTTCAGCACAGGAAGGTGGCACAGGGTCAAGATAGTAGGGTTCCGCAGTTAGAGCGAATTGCAGGAAGGGAGTAGGTCACAACGCCTAGCCGGGAAAGTGTGGTCTTACGGGTGCAAAATAAACACAACAGCCCACTGTGTAGGATGCAACTCTTTGAAACCAAGAAGATGACAAGAGTCTGCAACAGGCCTTGTGTGCCCCTGCAAAGACTGCCCGAGCATTTTGCGAACCAGACTCGAACATCTTGAGGCAATGCATGGCCAGGAAACCAGCCATACTTTGATTTTGTCGCATGTTGTATACCTTGCCTTACCACCGCGGTGTTGTCACAGGAGAGGTGCAAGCATGTCGCTGGCGCTGTAAACTAAAACCCTTCACAGCCCTATAACCCCAAACTCACCAAACCCTGAGCCCTAAACCCTATAACCCTAAACCCCCAAAATCCTAAAACCCTATAACCCCAAAACCCCAAACGAGCCGTTCGCATGCAAAGGCGCAGCAAACTTCGGATCGGGTGGCGGCTCGAGGGGCGGGACCCGCACGAACAATGACTACCTGCAATCGTAGGTTCGCAATACATATGTGTATATATATATATATATATATATATGTAGATATATACATGTACACATGTATACATATATATATATACATATATGTATATACATATCTATATAAATAAATAAATAAATAAATATAAATATAAATATATATATATATATATAACTTAATTGTTTATTTATATTACATTGCCATGATTAGCAGGACCAAGGTGCCAACGTGCACGGATGAGTTGAGGGAAGGCTTGCGAATGTGTGGAAGGGTGATGCTCAAGAGGTTGATCGAGCGACAGCACACACTCAGAGAGAAACATCACAACACAAGCTGCTGAAATTACCGTGAACATTCCTGCCTAAACCCTAGGCCCCATTTTGCGAATCAACTTCTAAGTGTTGAGGCCCCTCTCTTAAATCCTTATAACTTCCCCTGTAGTAGCCCTTATAGACCCCTTGAAAGGAACCCGAAATTCTAAATTCAAGATGAAGATCACTGCGCCTTCAAGGGCTTGTTCACAGGCCGCTGCCTTCACGCACGGAAGTGCTAGTAGCAGTGGTAGTAAAAGTAGGAGTAGTAGTAGAAGCAGCAGCAGCAGCAGCAGCGGCAGTAGTAGTAGTAGTAGTAGTAGTAGTAGTACCATTCTAATTTGGATTAGCTTGTCAGTATTATTAATTACCGCGATAACTATCGCTACTAGGATTCTACTGACCATGGTGATGTGATCATTCTATCTTATGATGCCCCGGGAGGCTTCAATTTGCTATCCTATTCCTACGAAGTAGCGCGACCATGTCGTTGAGCTTCTCTTTGTTTAGACGTCCCTTTTCCATTCGCCGAAGTCCAGAAAGCAGAGTTCCGCTGGGCGTCTAGCTACCAACACATCTGTAGCTTGAGTCTCCTTGCTGAAGCAACCAATTGGAATTTACTGGCTTGTTGCCCTAAGTAGGGGCTTTCGGAGCAGCGTGGAATTATCGAACACGTCTTGGAGTAGCCTGTTTCCTGATGCCAGGCCCTGTTTTACACCTGGGCCTAACTAAGCCAACAACTGAGGCGGCGAATGAGCTGTGAATTTGTGCTAATTAATTACACGGTTACCACAGACTACAAAAGCTGAACAACTGGTCAGCCCAAGCATTAGAAGCAGTGATTACATGGCTGCAACTGGAAAAAGCCCTAGAGGTTGGGAAAGTGATCTTAAGACACTCAAAGTGATCCTTTGACTTGCCCTAAACTCTAGATAAAACTCCACAAACTCAAACTTACAAGCTCTAGTGTCAAGTGATGCCCCGCGCAGCCTTGGGCCTCGGGCTGTAGCCATGGATTCCACTACGGTTAGCTACTACACGGGATACTACAGTTACTATAATTATGAACAAATTGCTATTGGGGATACTCGAAAATATTAGAGTTTACCTAAATAGTAGTTATAGTACCCCTTATGGTAACTTTACTACAACTACTATGACGGTTGCTATAATTACTACAAGCGGTACAACTATTTTAACAGTCGCTATATTTACTACAAGGGATAGTCTAATTACTCTACAGGGAACTCCAGAAAGTTGGAATATGGTTTCATGGTAGGATACCCTATAACTTACCATAGAAGGGTTAGGATAATCATATTCCAACTTTCTGGCTTTTACCTTAAGTTAGGGATCGAGAAGGCCTCAGTTCCGCTTGGGGGTGGAGCAACTCTGCAGGAGCAGCCTTCGAGATCAGCGAGGCACCCGAAACCACAAAGAGTTGTACGTCTTGTAAGGGCAAAAACTAATTAGAGTGGGGTTTGGGGGGTAACTTATACTATAATTCTGATAGGGAGCCCCTAAAAAATATAGGTAGTTATTACGGCCTATACATTAACCTCATGTGAAGGCAACTCAATTTCGATTAACGGTGAGGAGCTGGGAAAGGAATTCATCTGCTACGCAGGTCTACACTGGTCCCAAGCAGAACTACTGTCACCGCCGGTGTCAGCGTCACCCCAGGTTACGATTGAGCCATCGCTCGTAATGGCAGCAAAAGCCTGGCAGCTGGGTTGGATCTGCTGCACAGTGTGCAGCAGATGCTGCACAGCACTACTGTCACCCCCGTAGCGAGCGTCACCCCAAGTCAATACAGAGCCATCCTCAAGAATAGCAGCAACAGCGTGGGGGTTGGCTTGGATCTGCTGCACATTCTTCAGCTGAGCGCGCAGAACCCTGCTGTCCCGACCACGGCAGACATCACCCCAGGTCAGGACGGATCCATCGCCGAGAACGGCAGCAAAACCGAGATAGCAGGCATGGATCTGTTGGACACTGTCTCTCTGCAGCTGATCTTTCACAACACTGCTGTCGCCACCATATCGAGAATCACCCCAGGTTGCGACAGAACCATCCCCAAGAACGGCAGCGAAAGCGAGCTCATTGCCCTTGATCTCTTTCACATTCTTGAGCTGTTGCTGAACAGCACTACTGTCACCACCAGAGATTGCATCTCCCCAGGTCACGACGGATCCATCGCCAAGAATTGCAGCAAAGGCCCGTGCAGAGGCATGAATCTGCTGCACATTCCTCAGCTGACGCCTTACATAGCTACTGTCACCGCCCAACTGATCGATACCCCAGGTTACCACAGATCCGTCGCCTAGAAGGGCAGCAAACGCGCCTGCAGAGGATTGGATGTGCTGCACATTCTTCAGCCTCGGCCGGACGGCACCAGCGTCGCCACCCAAGACAGCGTGACCCCAGGTCACAACAGATCCATCGCTCAAAATGGCGGCAAAAGCATGCTTAGATGCCTGGATCTGCTGCACATTTTCTAGTTGATCCTTCACAGCACTGCTGTCGCCACCATTGCAGGCATCTCCCCAGGTCACGACGGATCCATCGCCCAGAATGGCAGCAAAAGCGCGTTCAGATGCATGGACTTGCTGTACATTCTTGAGCTGATCCTGTACAGCACTACTGTCACCGCCGCACATCGCATGACCCCAAGGTGACGACCGATCCATCCGCAAGAACGGCAACAAATGCAGCTATGTTTCCACATGCCTGAACTCGGTTTACCTGTAAGACAAGGGACTCGCCATTCTGCACCCTTGCATCCCTGAACAGCACCCGGGCATCCAGAGTTCTGCCAGTCGAGTCCACCAGCCGCCCTTGTGTAACTCCGAGTGCTTTCTGTGCCCGGAGTTTCAGTGCGGAAACTTCTTCATCCAGGCCCACTTCAAAGGCAGCAGTCTTGCCGCTAAGCAGTCCAACTTCCACCGTAATCGACATGCGGAACTGCTCTTAAGCAAAGTAGCTCGAAACGTTGGTTCGGCTCGTGGCTAAACGTGCCTACGTGTCGATATCTGTAAAAGCAAGCGACTCGCTACACAAGCAATCGACTCGCTGCACAACTGAAGCGATGAACACTCTCAGGTGTGTAACGCGGGAGGTGTCCTGTCTGCATACCTTCTGGGGAGTGTCCCTAAACCCTAAACCCCTAAACCCATAAACCCCTAAACCCTAAAGGGTATTTGCAAGGAAGCCTAGCTCTTCACTCTCACACATCCCACAGGTTCAACAGAGTTACATCGGTGGCCCAGTTCTTCAAAGACTTTTAATTACATGTTTCCACACGGAGGGGTGTCGACAGAGTTGCAGAAGTTTTCACGGAATCCACCGGAAACTCAGGCTGGGGTTGCTCGATCACCGTTTGAGCAGAGCGAGGCCAGTGATAAAGCGAAGACATGCAACACAAGATGGCAGGGAGCCTCACGGACAACAAAGCTACGTACGGATCAGTAAGCCTGTGCAGGCCTACGCATACATTAAGTTCATACCGTGCATCGATGCATACATACCTGAATGCGTACGTCGTATGTAGACACATACATGCATATATACGCACGCGAGTACACACAGGCAGGCAGATAGACACAAACAGATAACAATCCATCCATGCATGCTTGCACACACCCATCCATGAACCATGCCTCTGACAAACAGACAACAGTCCATCCATCCATCCACCTATCCATGCATGCTTGCTCGCTTCCTTGCATGCAGGCACATGCATCCACCCACCGATGCATGCATACACACACTCGAACCATGCACCCATCCATCCATCCAGCCAGCCAGCCACACAGCGATCCATCCACCCATCCATCAACGCAAGCATGCAGGCATGCATACTCATGTATGTGTCCATCCATTGTCCATGCATGCATGCGTGCATCATACGGACATGCATACCTGCCTACATACGAACATGCATATGTAGGCACATGCATACATGAGTATCATACATGCGAATGTACACACTTGCGTACAAGGCTACGTACTTACATACACACAAACATAAACATACATACACACATGCTCGTATGCAGACATACATACATACATACATGCGTGACTCACGTGACCACGGCCATATGTGTGTACTTGCGTCTGTTTGTGTACTTGTACATGTAGCATCCTACAGAAATATTTCGTGCACGTACGACACATACACCTGCCAGAGCAGCTGAAGCAAACTCATACCTAGACGCAGAACAGTCTCGAATAAACCACAATATCAAACTAGTAAAAGCACAAAAAATGTAAAATCGTGTCAGTAGCGAAGAGTACGACCCCTCCCCCGCAAGTGCAAATACATGCTTTTTGACATTTGCATTTGAGATGATACTTACATGTAAACAAACTTGAAGACAATACATGCAGATATGCATACATGCATACATATGTACATACATACATGTGTATATATATATATATGCATGTATACATGCACGCACGGATGCATGCATGTATAACGACTGTTTATATCACAGTTGTGTTGGCTGCGGCATGCAGGATCTGTCATGTTTTACTCTTTGGGCTTTCCATTCGCAAATCGTAAGCCTAGAAAAACCATGTCCTACCACGTTGTCTTTCTATCGTCGGGGCCAAGGCCACGGATCTGACGCAACTTGATCAATGTAGGGGCCTTAATAATTACAGTATGGTTTTGGTGTATACTTTACTATACTGATAATCAGGACCACGCCCCCAACTCCCTCCCGCTTCCAAAAAACAACTTACTATTGAGGCCCTCATGTAAAGCTTCGAAGTTCTAGCCAAGCCTTGCTCTCTGGGCTTTGTGTGCGGGCATATAGAAACAGGGGCTGCAGGTTGAAACCGGTCATGCAGGGTTTCTGCAACGATTTACCGGTTTACTTAAATTAGCAGACCTCAAACCCTAAATCCGAACGGGGTCCCCGATGATTACAACGAAATCCTAAGCCACTTGGCCTGGCGAGTGAGGTGAGCTCATCCTCCAGGCTGGCATAGGTCCCCGTCTTGAAATCCACGCCGAAGAAGGAGCCTGGCGCACGCTATGACAGGGCAGCTTCAGGGTACCGGGTTTCGGGATTTAGGTCTACATGAGTCTACATTTCATTTCCCTTAGGGCTCCAGCTACTTACGTGGTTTCTCGGCTACATTTTTGTGCTCAGCAACTTAGTGTTTATGTCACTGGAGCCTTAGGGTTAGGTAACTAAAGCGACAATCACCTAGGCCTACGGTCTTTCTTCGCATCGGTTTGACACAAAATCAAAGACCAACTTTTCTGATGCAAGGGTCCTCGTGCTGAGTGCATTCTGGGGGCTCGGAACTCAATGCTCGAGGTTCAGTGCTTGCTGTCTTTTGAAGCTAACAAACCTTTCTAGCTTCTTTCTGTCAAGACATCCCTACGGTTGATGATATAAATCCTGCATTACCTTATGGGTAATGCAGGATCTTACAACGCTTCGGGCTTCAGGATTTAAGACTACTATTGTTATACTGAGGCTTATAGGGCTTGTAAGCATCAGAGGCGGCCCGAGTGTTCACAGCGGACGGAGGGGTCAAAGATTGGAATTTCTACGAGTACAAAGCCTCTTTCCTTGCCTGAGGATTAGGCTCTGACCTCCGAAGTCCTTGGACTCCAGCTGTAGAAACAGTAGGAGTAGGAGTAATCATGGTAAGAATCGTAGTAGTAGCGATTGAAAGAAGAATGATATTACTTCATAGCTAAGAGGGCTTTTGTAAACACCCTGTCAATATAATAGTACTACTTCATAGCTATGAATAGTAATTTTTGTCAGCCCCCGGGCCTACGTTGAAACCTCCATCTTTTCCTCGTGCACCAACGGTACTCCTTGCTTCTTGCGACATGACATGCTGGCTGTCGCTGTCATGCCGCGGGTTTCTTGAAAACCGACTTTATCTTCGGAGTGTCAACCCTTTAAAGGTTTAGGGTTTCGGGTTTGCCAAAAGTTCAGATTGCGAGCTTTCGAATGGGGGTCGAATCGGAGCCCAGAAGGTAATTTGTACCTGCCGCCGGGCCATATCCAAAGCAGAAGGAGACTATGCGCAGCAAAGAACGCTAAAGTCACCGTTGTCGACAGGTTGCGTTCTGGGACCGATTCCAGTTCGGCCCAGGCACAGCATGAGGACTCGGCTGAGGGACAAGGGCATGCTGTCCAGCAGCTTCTTCAGCCTTTAGCAAGTTTGCACGCTGCATACGTAGGCTGTGGTTTCGTGGCTGCCGAGCAAATTCCTGTCACACCGAGTCATCCTCTAGCATCGGCGGCAGGAAAGCCTATGAGACCTAGACAGTGAAGACACCATTTGCGTGCAATCTTTGGTCTGGGTCTCCAGGCCCATCCCGCAGAGCACGCACCTTCCGCCGATCCGTAAGGTCCAGTGTGGGGCAGATGACCTAGGGCAAAGAGTCCGCTGGGCGATCGGGGATGGGTTTCATAATTTTGAAATCCAATGCAGTTTCATGCCATGTAGACCAGAACTGAAGCCTCAACCCCCGCAGCGCGAGGGGTTGCTTCTGGGTTGCTTCGGGCTAAGTCCTAATGCAGGTTTCAGCGGATACTTCTGATCAATCGCTGACTGAGGGCGAATATGATAACACTCGCCTCGAAGTATGCTTCTATCACTTGAGCAAAAACAGGCTGCTGCTCTCGGGCATGGGAAACCTAGATTTCTTTCGTCACTGCAGAGCTTTGCCGATCCAGAACCCCTAAGCAGAGTGACCGGAAATAAGGTCTCTCCCCGTGAAGCGCTGTGGGTGTTACCATGCATCTGGAGAGGCCAGAATACCTGCTTTACTGTCTTCTATTATGTCATAATGGTTTGATATTTGTTTGATACCGAATGTATAATATATATATATATATATATATATATATATATATATATATAGCAAATTGAGAGTGTAAAGCTTGATGATAATGGTCACACGGCTGTCGTCGAGTTCCAGCTCGGTGTCTACACCGCGGGACCTCCAAATACTCCAAATCCTAAACCCCCAAACTCTAAAGCCCTCCCTTCATCGTAAGAAACCTACCTGTTCAAGGTTCCATAACATGTTTTCCTTGTATATATTCCCGAAAAAAAGCAGTAGGGATCTCAGGGTCCAGCTACACCCTAACATCTCCATACCGGCATAGCTTTGCCCAGCGGCGGCTGTACGACACAGGGCCAGGGCTTGGTCGAGCTCCTCCTGACATAGCAAAGATTAGGGCCTGTAAGGTTACATAGGGCGAAGACTCTCGCAACCCGAATTCTCCAGACTGGGGTGGTCAGGCACCATAGCTGCCATAGCTTCGGCGAGTGGACGACTCTTAGATCCAAGTCCAAAAACGCAAGGTGAAACTGTTTTACAAAACATTGCTTGCTTCCATGTGCATCTTTCTCTTCATGTTCCGAACACTTCGGGTCGTGGTTGCCGCGGGGTGAAGGTTTCGGAACCGAAGGTGAACTAACGTAGGGGCCTTAATTATATGCTATAGTCATAGTAAGGAACCCCCCCAATAGTATAGGTAATTATTTAGGCCCCGATAGTATGTCATGTCTGCAAGGCCACAGGTCACCGGAAATGAGCCAAGCCGCGAAGGGAGTGTCCACAGCTGACTCTAAGTCAAACCATCCTCGGCTGGTCGGCGTGAGGTTCGGATCAATCCAGGAATGGAGTGCGACAGTGCCCTACTATAGGGGCCTTGATTAATTTGGATATTGTGTTGGGGCCCCTTCTACTAGAAGTCTAATTAGTATTGGCAATTGCTGAGGTCCCTCTGTCACACCCTAAGCTGTTAGGGAACTGCCCGTGCTGAAAGCGAGTTTGGATTCTGCCACGTGGCTCCCCTCCCTTCATCTGCAAAACTACAGCCCCACACTCCACAAGGGAAAAACATCAGCCATGCCCATGTCACAAATGTGCCTCCAACTCCAAACTGAACTTGAATGGGAATGCACACGACAGGGAATGGCCTGTCATGGACGCCATGGCGCGAAACGATTATTAGACGTCACATGTGTGCTACTATACATCCGGGATGGCAGCGTGGGGGTGCCTGGCTGCATCCATGCCGAAAGGCTATCCTAAACATCGGCATGCCGTCCACCAATGTCTCATACACCTCAAGCAAGGAATTCTAGCAGAACACGAGTCTGAGGTTGATCAGAAGAATCACACAATTCCTGGTCCGTTCGGTCGACACCAGCTTGTTTTTCAGTAATTCGTTTTGGTACAGCAGCCTACCCTTTTCTTGGACAAGCATGCAACAAATCCCTCTTGCAGGTGCGTGTCGCGGAGCGGCAGCGGTGCCGCCAGTCAGCTCCTCTAGGTCGAAATACCTGACAAGGGCTAAGGGCTTCTACAGCTTGCGGGTACCTTCTTCATGGTTGGGGTATCCGAGAAAGAAGCCCGGGTGTGGGCAGCAATAACTCACCTGAAGAGTTGTCCACGCTTGTTCGGGGTCTCTGTTGTGGGCCGTTAAGGAGTACAGGATCCTTACAACAGGAAACTTTCCGCATAACAAAAACTAAGCACTGGAATTTCAGACATCGCCTCAGGACAGTCAACAGATGGCTCCGAGCTTGCTTGCATGGCAACGAAACTGCTCTTCGTCCGAACTCACAAAGTACGCTGATTGCGGCCAGGAGTGCAGGTGACCACCAACTGATCCAGTGCCCTGGAGCATCAGATGACGGAGACCCAAGCATGCGAAGTGGATTCATTTCTGTGTGCCCTAGGAATGCGTAGCTACAACTGAGTGTCGCAGGTCTGCTGAACCTGAACCCAAGCCCATGCCCGCAGCTTGAGGGCTTCAAGAGCTCGCACAGCTTCTGCTTTCTGCGCCAAGCTGTGTTTGAGTCTGGGACTAGGAGGCTTTGTAGCTAACCTCAAACACATCCCCAACGAGACAAAACATGACTTCTCCAGCCACAACTCACTCAGGTTTGGCGCTGGACTTCGGCATTGCCTGATTTTGAAACCGGGATCCTGCCAAACTCCGGCTTGAGAGAGTTGAAACAACTTACTTCGATGGACCCTCGGACCCACGGAATCTACGAAGGTTAAATGATTATATACACATATATATACACATACCTATATGTGTGTGTGTGGATCTTATATATATATACATATATATATATATATATATATATAGTGTACCATCTTATCCGACGGCATCGAAACTATGGCCTCCTTGCTTGGGGGATCGCCGATGCCGCAAACTGCGACACAGGGCCTCGGCTGACCCTGCTTCGAGGGTGCACCAGAAGAAGCTCACGATATCACGAACGGTGTGTCGCCACAGCCATGATTCACGATAAACATATATATATATATATATATATATATATATATATATATATAAACACACACGCAGGTTCACTGCATTTATTCGTCATCTGTGCACACTTCTTTTTGTGGCATCAGGGCGGAGTTCCCCGAGCAGCAATCGCTTAAGATCCTGCCCCAGTAAAGCTAGCCTTTCCGGAAATGCAGGTAGTCTTTTGGTGCTTTGCAGCTGCGACGGCTGTCTTTCCTTGTCCCTCTCTTTTGACTTGACTGTGGAGGACCCCCAGCATAATTTCGAACGATTCCTTGCCTGTCTAATACCTACATCAACATTTATGCCTATTTCTATATATGTCTAAAATCAGTATATCAGTATGTATAGATGTGTATATTATATATATATATATATATATATATTATGTACATTTGCATACGTGTATCTGTATGTATGTATGTATGTATGTATATATATATATATATATGCATATGTCTACGGAGAACAAGCCAAACACACAGACCAACAAACAAACACACACACACACACACACGCACGCACACCGATATATATATATATATATATATATATATATATATATATATATATATAAAACTCATGTATATATATATATATACACATATATTTGTATATGTATATCTGTATATACGTATTCGCACGTGTTTGGTGCATGTACACCTCTGTCTGACGTAAATGTATGTATACGGTATATCGGGAGATCTATGCCTAAACTCAAGGAGCAAGGCTGCCAAGTTGCAGGGGCTCGGCTCTGGCTTCGCCACGTCCGGGACGCACCTCTTGTTGGGAATTGCAGTAGGCTTGCTTCGGTCTCTGTTGCAAGTTGTCGTTTAACTTGTTTAACTTCGGCGGCGACAAAGCATCCGGCTTCCGGCCCCCCGAGGGACCTGGAATAGAGGTAAACTGAAAGCGCCGTGCGTGTGAGGGAGGAGTGTACGGGGGAAAAGCCGAAGCTGCACGCGACAGCGGACACCCCGCGGGAACTTACCCGGGAGCCTCCACGGGAACGTCCACGGGAACGTCCACGGGAACCGCCGCGGGAAGGGCCGCGGGAAGGAAAATTCCAGTGTACAATTTAGACAGGTAGTGTACAATTTAGACAGGTAGAGAGCAACCTACCGGAGATCAATCACTTTCCCCAGTCACACACTCAGTCGTCCAGTCTTGAGCCAATGCCGAATCCAGTCTTGAGCCAATGCCATTCGGCATTGTTGCGTTCATTCAGTCTTGAGCCAATGCCATTCGGCATTGTTGCATTGTCAAGATCAAGGGACTGTGTTAAATCAGCATCGTATCATATGTATCATATAAAGGGCGTATCATATGTGTCATAGAAAACAAGGGGATTCAGAAGGTTCGGAGGTATTCCCGGTGGTGCATATAAAAACCAGGTATTCCAGGGTTCGGAAACCCCCGGTATTCCAGAACCCGGAACCGGAACCTGCCCCTGAGCCGCGTCCCGCAGCCAGGAAACAAGACTTTGCCGGAAAGTCTTATTCGTAAAAAACGACAGTATTTAAACCCGAGTAAGGTAAAAGACGAGTAAAATGAACATCTGTGAGTCATCTGTGAGTGCCGAGTGTAATTAAAAAAAAGTGTATCGGGCATGCCGAGTCCAAAATAGAGTATTCTCCGTCCGAGCAAAATTAAAGTATTCGTAAATGCTGGTAAACAACCGAGCAAAATAGAATAGTTGCACTACTACGACTACGACTACGACTACGACTACGACTACTACTACTACTACTACTACTACTACTACTACTACTACTACTACGACTACGACTACTACTACTACCACTACCACTACTACTACTACTACTACTACTACTACTACTACTACTACTACTACTACTACTACTACTACTACTACTACTGACTCGGACGACGACGACGACGAGACCTGCTACTACTTCTGCGATTACTACGAGGACTAGGACTACTATACTACCACTATACTACCACGAGCACGAGTACTACTCTAAATGCTCCGAGTAACATAAAGTATTCGTAAATGCTGGAAAAACGAATATCTGTGAATGTCGAGTAAAATAAATTTGACGAATGTCCTGTGCATGCCGAGTCAAATGAACGACTTTTACTTACGACTACTGACTACTGGCGACGACTACGACTGCTACTACTACTACTACTACTGCTGCTGCTGCTACTACTACAACATCTGCTACTGGTGCTTGCGCCTTAGTCGGCCAGAGGGTTGCGCCTTAGTGGGCGATAGTAGGGGTGCGCCTTAGTCGGCGATATGGTTGCGCCTTAGTGGGCGATAGGGTTGCGCCTTAGTCGGCGATGGGGTTGCGCCTTATAGTGGGCGATAGGGTTGCGCCTTAGCCGGCGATGGGGTTGCGCCTTAGTGCGCGAACTACAACTAATTAAGGGGTCGACTGCTATTGCTGCCGCTGCCCTCCTGCAACTCCTACTAACTACGAATCCCACTCCTACTCCTACTGCTTGTCCTTCTTCTTCTTCTTCTACTTCTACTCGTTTTGATGGATTGCTGCTACGAAAGCTACTCCTGTTCCTGCAACAGCCAGAACCACCATACTCGTAGCAGCTCGCAAAAAAAGGGTGCCACAGAAACCAGAAGCTAAGAAAAGTCAAATCCGAGGCTGAATGGAGGCATCGCTTCATGCTTGAAATGGTAGCCGCGGAAACATGTCGTCCACCAGTTATTGCTGAACCGTTTTCCGGGGATGAGGTTTAGGCCAGGAGCTGTGGCAAGGGTTGTTGGTTTTATGTGTTGGCTTTAGACTTTGGCGAATGCCCCCTACTTTCTTCACGATGTAGCCAGACAACTCGGGAAATGAGTCCTCCTGCACGAACCTGGGCAATGCGTCTGAGGGCATAAGCTGTGTACCCGAATGCCGAAGACGGCATACGTGATGCGATACCTGACAGTACCGAAGCCCAAAAGAAGAAAGCTTCGGAAGGTGTTCTTGTTATTCAACGTTGGCTTTCTGCGTGTTCGATCACAGAAGTGGGGAACGTATCTTCATGATCTTTCGTGTCGGCCTGTGACCTGCAAGAGATATGCCCTAAAATTAACCAGCACAGTCGCAACATCTCAAGATGAACAAGTGCCGACCAATGGCTCCGGCTTAGGGTTTGGGGCTTGGGGGCTTAGGGTGTAGAGCTTGCCTTTCCGGTGGAAACGCTTCAACACGAAGCCACCAAAACGCAGTCTCCAAGGCACCAGGCCCCTAGACCCCTAGACCCCTAGACCCTAAACCCCTAAACCCTGAACCCTAAACCCTAAAGCCTTGTTCGGACCTAGCTCGACTCTGCTCGCAGCTTCTGCCGCTACATCGATTTGACTAGCAATGATACGGCTGATGGTCAAAATCCTGCATCACTAATAATAAGCAATATGCCATAGTTCCCATAGTTTAGGGTCCCGAAGGTAAGGCAGGATTTTGACCATCAACAGTAAGAGTACGAATTGTGCTAATTCTGGTAACTAGCTATCGTACTAGCAATCATAGACAGATTTTGTATTGATACCCGTACCTAGTGATACTAGTAATGATAGCAGAATGGACCATGGTAGACCATGCTGCTCAGAAACTATTCCTGCGTTCTTGGCCCTAGACCCTAAATCCCTAAAGGTGGACTGCCTGAGGTGAGGCCAGGACCACTCGGCTATCGAGATGGCAGCATGCTTGGTCACACTGTAGGGCAGAGACCCCACCTCTGGGACTGCCAGGCAGGATTAGGGGTCAGGATTTGGGATTAGGGTTTAGGGCTAAGGATTTAGGTGTAGGGTTTAGGATTTAGGATTAGGGTTTAGGCTTTAAGATCAACGCTTAGGGATTAGGATCCCTTGTCGATTGCAGACTGCTCTCGGTGCGTCAGAACGGTGAAGGTCTGAAATAGAAGAGAAGAAACCAGACAAATCCTTCAGGTTCACTACATTGTAGTCTACTCCGAAAGCTTCCAGACCCGACTTCTTTCCTACTAAACTCAAAACCCATAGACGTGCAGCACGTAAAAGTATGTTCTGGCAGGTTTGCAGGGTTTAGTGGCTGGCGCCTGCGACGATACTCCAAGCTAGACAGTCTCTCCTCTCCTTGCTCATGGGCTTCGGCCGTGTGTTCGACATTGACAGAACCTAGGCCGCAAACCAGAAAACAAACCCAAAGCCCTAAACAACAATCCCTGGAAACCCAACCAGTGACTAGGACTCCAAGGCCATGTGCCGAGAGCCGTTGAAGCGACAACACGGGGGCCTCGATAATCAGAGTAGGGTCCGGAGTACTCCACAGGTTAGGTGTACATACATACATATATATATATATATCTACAGAAATATTGTATATATTTCTGTAGACACTGCGTTATTGGACTGGAACGGAATACAGCTAGTAGTTCTGCCGACCTCTGTACATAGTTTGCGACACATTCCCAGCCCTGGCCTTAAGGAATGATGGACCTTAAGAAATTTGAGATCCCAACATGCACCTGCGTCAGGAGACCCGCTGCAGAAGCGGTGATGACAAAGTACTTGCGATTCCCTTCGGACCGGCTGCAGACTTTGGAGTTGTCGAGTTTATGAGGACCGGCTGCAAACTTTGGAGTTGTAGAGTTTATGAGGGTTTATACGGGACTGGGGAGTTGGTAATTTGTAGGGCCTTTATCGCTGGTAGCTTGACGGAAAGTTATAAGGTCAACGTTTTCTAGGGCTGAAGGCCTTGTAGGGCTTATGGGTCTGTGATCATGATTAGTATCATTAGTGTTCCGGTCCTGTTTGTTCATAGGTTTTGCTGACGATATCCTGGTGCTAACCAACATAACATCATAGGACACCTACACGACCCCACAGTCTTCCATGCACTTCAGACCTTTTGGTTTCGAAAAATGATGCGATCTGCTAGGGAGACCCCAACACAAGCCCAAATCCCATGTCGATGCCAGAACAACTGTTGAGCTGGTAGCTTGACATACCAAAGACACCTTACACCCACCTTCAGGTTCTTCTGCGCGCGGTGGGCCTCACCGGAGGACAGTCGAGCTCTGTCAGGATGTAGGGCTAGAGTTTGTGATTCTTCCCCTATCATATCCCTGGTTACTACACTGTCAAGGCCAAACCTTCGACCCCTGCATATGAACTTGGCCATACCCAAAGTATTCCAGCCTTCGGAGACTTCGTCACAGCCCCCCAGCGGTTTGACCTCGTCGGTACAAGCAAGAATCGCTTGTGGGTCTACGGGTTTCTGGACCAATCGGGATCCTCTTGATTTGCCTGCACCGTGTCTTCTTTTCGCAGTCAGCTACAGTCAGCCATGGTTTCGGGCAGCACCATGGTTCTAGGGAGCATTCAACAGATCTCGGCTAAGGCTGCTAAGGATGGTATTAATAATCAGCGAGTATCATCACCAGTGCTCCCGAGAACGTGCTACAGTCAGCCATGGTTTCGGGCAGCACCATTGTTCTGGGGAGCATTCAACAGATCTTGCACGAGAATGTGCTGCTAAGGATGGTATAATAATCAGCGCATATCATCACCAGTACTCCCGAGAACGTGCGAGGGTGCGAGGTGTCGGGAGTGTCAGCGTGCAGCTGCCACAGACGATGTGGCTTGCCACTGTCAGAGTGCATACTTCCAAACTGATATGTGGTCGGGGACTGGAGTAGCTTTAAGGTTCATGCCAGCCCAAGAAAAGAGGCCTCCGACAAGGGACCTCAGCGTGGGCGGCACAACATCGGGCTGCTGCTTGCGCACTCGAAAATAATGGATCTTTGTACAGCCTAGCCTAGCCGCTGGCTTCCTTGTTCTTCGCCTTGTCTAGCATTGCTTGCAACGCAGCGCTAAGTCCACTCGTGCTCCCGCCGCCGCTCTCGCCTGCCCCACTGCCACTGGAGCCCTCGTCCTTCTTGGGCTTCTTGGTCTCCGTCTGAGTCTGTCCGCTCTGATTCTCATTCTCCTTGCGCTTCTTGACTGCAGCGGTCTCCGCCTTCTTCTTCTTCTCTTCCTCCTGTTTGCGCTTGGCCTCCTCCTTGGCCTTCTGCTCGATGTTTTTGTCAGCCAGCGCAGGTGCATAGAGACCGGAGCCCGGGTTGGACAAGGCGGCAAGCACCTCCTTCATGACAGTCTTCTCGATGTACTCCATGTGGTGCTGTGTGCATGCTATGCCCACATAGCCAAGACGGTTGCACACTGCCCAAGCAGCCAGCCGTCCTGACTGGGGTGTCACGTCGATGATGTGGGCGGCGCTGGTGGCCTGCAGCGCGGACTCCCAAAGCGTCACGGGCATTTCATGATACACAACTGGCTGTTGGACTGTGGGAGCCAGTGTCTTGCTGCTGCCCCGGCCACTTCCGACGTCTGGGAGTTCAATCTCCTCTTCATCCACCGCACCGGTCTCTTCGGCAATTTCGTCTCTGTCAACGGCTGCGCCTTCGTCGTCCGTTTCGCCTGTGGCGGTTTTGCCGCCTACCGCAGCTCGTCTCTTCCCCCACAGGAGCTTCTTCTCCCCGTACGGAATCGATGGAAGGCTCTTCCAACTCTCGAGGCTGAACGGACCCATGAGGTCGAAGGCATTGGTTCCTAGTTTACTATGCAGGGCATCCAAATTGAAAGCTACCAGGGCCTCGCCGATGGGGTTTAATTCAACGTTAGGGTGTGCAGTGTACAGCCTAGCCTTGGCAGTGCTTGTAGGACTTCACCGGGATATCCGTGGCCGCATCGAACCACCAAAACATCTTCTGCGAGCACTTCAGGGACGCCAAAGCTTTCCTCGAGGTGCGAACCCGCCGGCTCTGCACGGACTCCGGGGTAAAGGTAGTTGTGATCTCGCGCCACATGATGTTGCTTCCCCGGGACTTCGAACGACCCACGCCCGGGCCAACACCGAACAGCTTGGACATGAAGCTGTTGTTCGAGCGCCCACCGTTGAGGCAAACCACAATCTCCCCAGGGGCCATCGTCTTCCAGTCCGAAGCTCCGCGACGTGCAAGCCCAATAGCCTCGAAGATCTTGTTCAGGATGCTTTGCTGAATCGGGGGTCGGCGAATGTGCGGGGCGGTGATTGCCTCACCCCACCCATTCACATCCATGACAATGATCAGATTCCCACTCATGCTCGCGGTGTCCACTTGCACCAGCTTGTGCTTCTTCAGGGCGGCAGCCAGGGCTCCAGACGTTTTCTTGTCGTCCTCGGACTCGAGCACGAGGTAGGAGGACATGATCCGCTTGGCGTGAGCCAGACGCTTGCTCTCCGGATCCGTGCCTTCCGCCATGGCCTCGTCCGTGTCTGAAGTTCTGGACGGGGCTGCTCCGGACGGGTTCGGAATCTTCTGTGCCTGGTCCGGCTCGGGATCGGGGTCCTGCGACTTCCCTGCATCGTTGATGGCCTTGAGCTCCTCCTTCAGGCAAGTGTCGATCTCAAGAATCGCGTCCTTAAACGGAGAATACTCTTCAAGCAACTCCTGCCCGCTTTTGGCATTTTTAATGCCCAGGCGGATGGTGCTCTCATCCGTTGCGTCTACGCTGAAACAGGCTGTCTCCACAAGTTCCAGTACCAGCAGCCCGGATTTGGGCCAAGTTGCTTGCCAGGACACGTCAATGTTCTCTGCCTCCTCCGGCACCAGCGGCCGCAACAGCTTCATGTAGGAATCTCTGGAGGCGAAGACCTCCCTCAGCTTGGACTTGCAGTCGGCCACAATGTTCCTGCTATCCAGGAAAGGGCCCAGTAGCCAAAGCTTCATCTCACGCTGCTTCAGGAACACCAGGCCATACTGCTTCGTGCCTGCCGTCGCAAGATTTCGCATGCTGAAATCGTGCAACGTCCCAGCCGTGAAGCGGGCGGAGATCGTGCCCAGCAACCACTCCAACTTGAGCACGTGGTCCTTGCACAACTTGCACATCTCCTGCAGCTTGTAGACGCCCGCAAAAGGAGAGTCGTCCAGGAACTCCTGTTCGGAGGCCAAAACGATCTGGCGCAAGGGCTCGTGTGCAAGCATGCGCTCATACACCTGGAGGCAAGCCTTGATCGTTCCAGGCTTGCTGCGGTCCTTGTCATCATGATTAGCTCCACCACCGCTGGAGCGACGACTAACTTGAATCAAGTTCCTGCCATACAACGTGGCGACGTCGTCGGCAGTGAGCGGGCCTGTGAAGACCTCCTTCCTGACCTGCGCACGAGCTTCGTGCAGGGAGGGCCTTGTACTACAAATAAGATGAGGTGGGTTCAGGGTTTTGGGTTTCGCGTGTTCAGGTTCAGAGTTCTGGGAGCTTACCCGGACGTTAGAGTTAGGCTGTATCCATTCAGCAAGACGTTGCCGTGTAAGCAATGTTTCTTAGCGGTTACAAGTGCTGGCCTTGAAATTCCACACATCGAAGATCATTTGGGTCGTCTTGTGGGTGATGGCCTTCTGATCGGCCTCGGCTTTGAAGCGCTTGTTGATCGTGTAGAAGTAGACATCCTGCTCCGTGGCGAGGTGCACAAAGTTGGCGGGGCAGGATAGCATCACCCGCTTCCATTCCAACAGCTCGGAGTCCGGTGCACCCATGAGGATTTTCTCGTGGACGGCCATGATGACGGCATGCTGCTGCCTCAGCGTGGTCGGCTTGGGAGGGCTTCCGCTTTTCTGCAAGGGGAGATTGTGTGAAGTTGTTCTTTTCACGTTCTGGGCTGAATGCATTCGGGGCACTCTTCCGGAGAGCATCTGCGCCATCTTCTGTCTGTAGGGCCAGGAAACACAAATTCCAGACGATCCTCCAGAATCTTGGGCCCCCTGGCCAACAGACGCTTGACGAGGTCTGCAACAGCTTTAGTCATGATAGGAACGCCCGGCGTGATGGATTCTAGAGGACTGCCCCATAGAATGTTCACGCCACAGAAGTATTCCGAACCGCTGTCGCGCGACAGCTCCAACTGCCGGCGATCCAGCGGCGCCAGGAACCCTGCTAGATCATTCTGATCGGCAGGAACCAGGGGCAAGGGGTCCACGTAGTCGATGTTCGGACCGAACACGGGATGGGCCTTGATCTCCGAGATAGAGGCTTCGATCATCTTGAAGTGTTCGATGTTGGGGTCGTACGACGACGGCGGAAGATCGCCGAGGCCTGGGGCATCAAGGTCCTTCTTCCCGGCCATCGCCTTCGCCTTCTTTGCTGGAGGCATGCTCGGAGACAGCGGTCTTCTCGAGAGTCTTCCCACTTGAGCTCTGCTAGGGCTGCGTGCATGACATGAGTTCCCTGTTATTCTCCGTGCACCTCGCAGCTCTAGTCTAGATCTGCACGTGTCTGCAATGGCCGTGGATACCGGCTTGTCCAGACGCAATGACTGTCAGGTCTCCTCAATATCAAGGGCCCGGCGCGCGACTGAGCATGCAGCGAGTCCTGTAGATTTTTGGCTACTCGTCCCGGAGGATAAGGACTTCCACGACTTGTAGTGTAGTGATCTACCGTATTGATTACACCCTGGAACATTCTACGCTAGGAAGGGCACGTTTCGTTTGGAAACTTTGATGATGATGATGATGATGAGCATGAGGATGATGATGAGGATGATGAGGAGGATGAGGATGATGATGATGGTGATGAAGATGATGCTGATGATGAGGAGGAGGAGGATGATGATGATGAGGATGATGATGAGCATGATGATGCTGAGGTTGAGGATGATGAGGATGATGATCATGATGTTGTCGATGATGATGATGATGATGATGATGATGAGGAGGAGGAGGAGGATGATAAGGTTGAGGATGATGAGGATGAGGATGATGATGATGATGTTGTTGTTGATGATGATGATGATGACGATGATGATGATGAATATTATGATGATGATGAAGAAGATGAGGATGATGACGAGGATGCTGATGATGAGGTTGAGGATGATGAGGATGATGATGATGAGGATGATGATGATGATGAGGATGAGGATCATTTTGATGATGAGGATGAGGAGGAGGAGGAGGAGGAGGAGGAGGAGGAGGAGGAGGAGGATGAGGATGAGGATGAGGATGAGGATGAGGACGAGGATGAGGATGAGGACGAGGATGAGGATGAGGACGAGGATGAGGCTGAGGACGAGGATGAGGATGAGGACGAGGATGAGGATGATGATGAGGATGAGGATGATGATGCCCCAGGATACCCTCAGCTCTGCACATCGGGAATTCCAATTGCCACCCCACGTTTAACCTCAAGCCAAAGCTGGTTCGATGCTGTAGTCGGATACGTGATGATATAACACTAGAACTGTACCCTAACCCCTGGTAAAGCTCCGCAAGATGCCCAAAGCCACCCGTGGAATCTTTAGCCCGCAACCAGGGAACGCAAACCCGCAACCTAAGCCTGCAACTTCAAGGCCAAAGCCCTTCACAAACCCCGGTATCGAAACCCATCGCCCTAACCCTAGGGGGGAAGTGATCCAGGCCGTGAGCCGAGCATTGCCCGTAGGGGCAAAAACCCCACAGTATTTAGAATTCCTTTTATAAGGGTTAGACTTTTGCAGCGATCTATAGTCGAGAACGCAATCCAGGCCGTGAGCCGAGCCTCCAAGTCTGGCCCTACCCCGACCCCCCCGGGACGCAGCGTCCTGCCCCCTTTGGCTTGGCCAGGAGCCTCCGAGAGCAGGCGTTGTGGGCTTCGGGTTGAAGGGCTCAGGCTTTAAGGGTTTCGTGCTTAGGGCTTCGGGTCGCTTTCAGGGTTTCGTGCTTAGGGCTTCGGGTTGAAGGGCTCAGGCTTTAAGGGTTTCGTGTCTAGGGCTTCCGGTGGCTTTAAGGGTTTCGTGCTTAGGGCTTCGGGTTGAAGGGCTCAGGCTTTAAGGGTTTCGTGTCTAGGGCTTCGGGTGGCTTTAAGGGTTTCGTGCTTAGGGCTTCGGGTGGCTTTAAGGGTTTCGTGTTTAGGGCTTCGGGTGGCTTTAAGGGTTTCGTGTTTAGGGCTTCGGGTGGCTTTAAGGGTTTCGTGCTTAGGGCTTCGGGTTGAAGGGCTCAGGCTTTAAGGGTTTCGTGTTTTGTGTGAAGCGCTTCGGGTTTAGAGTCTTGGGTCGAGGGTACTCTTTTATGACTTCAGGACTCTAGCTGGCTCCAGCAGGGGCTTCTATATCATCCGACTGAGTCTTGATATGGCATCATCATGTATCGTATCACATCATGTCACATGACATCATTATATTACATCTCCATTCCACATCATAGCATATCATCTCATATCACCTCTTACCTTGTCGCATCATATCTTTTCATGTCACATCATATGATATCATATCATATCATATATTATCATGTCATACCGTAACATATCATCTCATGTCATATACTACCTTATCACATCATATCATTTCATGTCACATCATAGCATATCATATAATATCATGTCATACCATATCATATCATGTAATATCATATCTTATGATATCGTACCCTAAAAGATGCTATTATGTCATATCATGTCAGACGGTATCATATCATACCATATGTTAGTCTATCAGACTGAACCACACCCAACTGCATACTACGCAAGACTGCACTATACTATGCCACACTACAATGCACCCTGTCATACTTTGATATA